GTATTTTTGATTAGTGATTATATAATCACTAATCAAAAATACTATTTTTAATTAGTGCCCTTGTAGAATGTCAAATAAGTAATTTCTTAAAGATAGGTTACTTAGGGGCACCTGGGTGGCTCAGTGGGTTAAACCCACTGCCTTCGGCCTGGGTCATGATCCCAGAGTCCTAGAATCCAGCCCCACATCTGGCTCTCTGCTCAGCGGGGAGCCTGCTTCCTCCTCTCTCTCTCTGCCTGCCTCTCTGCAGATCACAAGTATGTGATCTCTGTCTGTCAAATAAATAAATAAATAATCTTTAAAAAGATAGGTTACTTAGATGTGCTGCTCTGCGTATGCATCTATATGAAGGAAGACGTATTCTTTAGGAAACAGCTTCTTGTAAGCAATCAATAAATATTTAAAGGATACCCATCATACATATTTGATGGATTTCTTTGGAGATAGAAAACAGCTCTGCACTAGTTAGAGCTATGCAGTTTGGTTTGAGGTCGATTTGTCAGAATTGCAGACTGTTCATTAATATTAACTTCATTCTACTGAGGAATTTTAAAAGAGATCTGTACAAATGCAGATCTTACAAGCTATTCAGTGAATATTTTATTTTACTTTATTTTATTTTTAAAGATTTTATTTATTAATTTGACAGAGACACAGCGAGAGAAGGAACATAAGCAGGGGAAGTGGGAGAGGGAGAAGCAGGCTTCCCTCTCCTTGCAGAGCAAGGAGCCCGATGCGCAGGGCTAGATCCCAGGACCCTGGGATCATGACCTGAGCCAGAGGCAGACACTTAATGACTGAGCCACCCCAGGCGCCCCTCAGTGAATATTTTAACACAAGCAAGTTTGTTTTAAATATATTGAAGTTCTCTCAGTGAACAAGGTAAAGATCCCTCTTCTAATTTACATGTCAGTGTGAGGAGATAGATAATACAACAAATACTTAAATAACATAATATTATTTAACAATGGAAGGTGTAAAATAAATTGGACCATAATGATTAATAATGTGATTAAATTATGGACACCTGGTTGACTCAGTCATTAAGTGTCTGACTCTTAATCTAGTCTCAGGTCTTGATCTCACCATTGTAAGTTGGAGCCCTGTATTAGGCTCCACGCCCTGATTTGGTGATCTCAAAGCCATTGTTTGCAGATCCTTCAATAACTTCATTTTCCTGAATTTTTCTTGTGTATTTCAGTGATTTAAAAACATATGTAAAAAAAAAAATGATGTGGTTAAACTGGATAAAAGGAATGTCTTCTCTGTATGACTGATTTGATAAAACAGATAGGCTAATCAAACTTAGGTACAGGATATGATAACATTAATGAATATCTGTCCATGTATTTAAAGGTTGTTCAGACAGATGAAACTGCAAGGAAACCAGAGCATGTTCCTATTAGCAGTGAAGATGAGAGGAATGCTGTTTTCCAACTAGAAAAGGCTATTTCATCTAATAAAGCTACCTCAAGTAAGGGGAAATCTTTATAAAAATGCTTTGACCTGGAGGGAGTTTTTATTTTCAATAAACTCTATACCCAAAAGCTTTTGGGACTAAATGATAACTATTATAATAATAATGATGTTAGTTGATTTCGTGATCATATGAAAGTCACTGTTCATCTTTAACTGTGACTAAATTCATTATTTTTTTCACCCTTGCCCTACCCTCAATTGCTGAAATGTAAGTCTGCTTTATTGTCATTGTTCTGATTGGTTTAGTCCTTAAGAGTCTACTGTGTGATTCCTTTTTAACTCATGGCCAGCATAATGAGCAAAAAAATGGAGTTCCTGTATAGACTAACACTTAGACCCAGTGAAGTCACTTTAGAATAAAAAACCATAGAGTTCTTCCTGGCTTATTAGTCTCCATAGTACACACAGGGAATACAACTTGACCTGTATACATCCTTGTTAAATGGTTTTAAACCTAAGGAAACCAAACTTGAATTCCTTAAAAACAGCACCATTTGCTCATTTTTAGACCTGCTTACCATCTTTTATTACATAAATCAGCAGTTTCCAGACTTTCGGGATATTTATGCACAAACCAGTAAAATTCAGGAAAAAAGAACCTAGGTTAGCCAACTATTTATTTTGTAAATAAAATATATGTTAATCATTACAATTCTTTAAAAAATTCCATTTCTGACTTTCTCATTTCATAACATATCAAACTATACCTATCTACAGAATGATTTTTGAGAACCACTAATCTAGAAATATTTCAAACAGATACATACTTTTATTAGACTATCTGACCCTGTACTTAGTTATCAGAGGCAGAATGTTTCACACTATGTATTTATGGAATCAACTTTAGAACACTACCCAACGTTAACATTTTTTTTTTCATAAAGAGCTTAATAGCAGATGTGGTACATAGCTTCTTGTGTTCTGTGTTTTAGAAAGAATTTTTTAATATAGAAACTTCTCTGATTTAGTGATTTCAGAACCATCATTTTCATATCCTTCAATAACTTCATTTTCCTGGATTTTTCTAATATATTTCAGTCATTTAAAAACATAAAGGAATATTTAAGAGTAATGAATCCACATTGCTTTTTACCTAATAAAATCTTTACAAATTACTACAAAACTCTATTTTTCTGGTTGTTACGATCAGGTGATCTTCAGATGGCAGTGCTTTCATTTGAAAAAGATGATGATCGTAATGGACACGTAGATTTCATTACAGCTGCATCAAACCTTCGTGCCAAAATGTATAGCATTGAACCAGCTGACCGTTTCAAAACGAAGCGCATAGCTGGTAAAATTATACCTGCTATTGCAACATCTACTGCAGCAGTTTCTGGCCTGGTGAGCTGTTTATTCTCTGAATGGAAATACTTCTTTTTCATTTGTGTCTTACCTGTTTTCCCCATTGTACCAACCTAGCAAGTCCCTTAGAGGTCTTAGAGAAGGAGCTATCCATATTGATCTTAAATTTCAAGAAATTTCTGAAGATTCGGTAATCCACATTTTGAAGCTTTACAGCTACATAGATATTTTAACTTGAAAATTAACCTCTGTCAAGGCAGAGTACAATTTTTCTTATAAGCAATAATCCTCTTAGTCTTTCTTGTATCCTCCATACAAAGCAGATACTATATTTTTCTTGAATAAGATGAACTGCTGTAATGGTTGCTCTCTGATTGTATTGGATTTTAGTTCTTTGCCTTAAAAAATATAATTAGTGATTAATATTTCTTATAATTTAATATTTTCTTAATGATTCAGAATCCTTGGGCTGGCTCTAGCTGTTTTGCTGTACTGTAGTGTTTTACTTGAAGCTGTGTAATTATCTGCCCTTACATTAAGTGATTTTAGACTGTTGTATTTCTTGAATTCTGGTATCTTTCAAAACAGGAAGATTACATGATCAAAATAATTTTTAAAGTAATTTTGCTCACCCCATGTAGAACAGGTGAAAAGTTTGAAAGTATAAAATATGCTAAAAGTGGACAGGTTTATAAGAAATTCCTGTTATTTCAATCCATTAGCTGCTTTTACTCCTTACCAAGAAATGCTTGAGAACAATTTAGAAAAATTAAATAGATGCATTTAAAGTCATGAATAGGTTTGGGCTCCTTATATAATCAAATCACCTTTTATCTAGGTCGCATTGGAGATGATCAAAGTAGCTGGTGACTATCCATTTGAAGCTTACAAAAATTGTTTCCTTAACTTAGCCATTCCAATTATAGTGTTTACAGAGACATCTGAAGTAAAAAGAACAGAAATCAGGTATGTGTGAAGTTCTTTTTCTCTTGCATAATGAAAATGAAATAAAATTTTTACCTTCTTAAAGGAAAAAATTGTAGTTTCACCTCTCCCTTTCATATATATATATAAAGTGATCCTTGCCATCACTTCAAGACTATCACTTCAATCCCATCTTCATGAAGCATCTCTTTTTAATTAATTGACAAAAATTAAATTTAATTAATTAAAATAATTGGTATGCATTAGGTTAGTTTCAAGTGTGCAACACAAATGATTAAGTACCTGTATTATGACATGATCACAGCAGTAAAGCCAGTTAACATCATTACCATACGTAGTTCGCTTTTTTTTTCTTTGTAATAAGTTCTTTTAAGATCTGCTTTCTTAGCATCTTTTAACTGTGCAGTATAGTATTACCAACTATAGTCACCATGCTGCATATTACATACCCATGATTAATTTTCTAAGCTGGAAGCTTGTACTATTTGACTCTCTCCACCCATTTTGCTTATTCCCCAGCCCCACTTCTGGCAACTACCAATCTGTTGTCTGTATCTATGAGCTCAGTTTCAGGGTTTGTTTTTTTTTTAAGATTCCACATACAAGTGAGATCATACAGGTATTTATTTTTTTCTTTTTGACTTATTTCACTTGGCATAATGCTAATGTTGATCCAAATAACAAGATTTCTTCTTTTGTGGCTGAAGTGT